TTAACCCAAAAAATAGGTTCTAAACAGCTCCCTAAACTTGTGTTCCAAATTGAAACACAATTTGGGGCTCGAAACAGTCCCAACACGAACATGCAACGAAAAACCCAAAATTACGCTATAAATGAACAACAATGGCAGCTGCTATTTACAATAAATTACCATAAAAAAGGGCTCAACTACTGAAACCAACCACACCATGACGATCCTCACAAAAAAACTCCACAATCTAGGCTCTTGAATCACCAAATTCGGACCTAAAATGGCCAATAAATCATCTTCCAAATTTTCCCAAATATTGAGCTCGAAAATGAGCCATGGCAACAGCTAAAACATAATTCTTACCTCCAAAGAAGCTTCAAATACGAATTCCACTCATGCCAACATGTTCTCCTCGAAACACCACTCAAGATAGCCCAAAGAATCACCGAAATCAGACCTAAAATGGTTGAGATATCAAGTCTCAAAAATTCCCAAAATCAAACTCACAAAAAGGGTTGTAGCAGTAGGTATTTCACAAAATTTACCTCAAACGGAGACCCTAAATCAGTTTGCGAGCTCACCAACACGTTCCTTGAGAAAACCTCCACAAGATGGACCTTCGATCACTAAAATCTAACTTGAAATGAGAGAGTTATGAAGGTCTGAAGTTGAGAAATGAGGCTGAAATGACCTGCACCAGCTATATATATATATATATTAGCTGAAAAGTTGATTTTCGTATGCCAATTTTAAAATCTCCGATGGGGTACTCGAGATTCGTTTGGAACCCGATAAAAAAAAATATGCTACCCTACTAAATTGGACATTCCAGACTCAACGATGCAATCGAAATTTCCATTAGAGGTCATCTCGATAAAAAGTGGGTCCCACTCCCAACGGCCATTTTAAACCAAAATCCACCGAGGGGCTCAAAATGAGTCCAGAGGCCTCGGGAGTCGTTGATGAGTCTGAGATTTGGACTCATTTAGGGTTTTGTTTGTATAGAATTAGTGTACTCAAATGCTCAATTTATGCTAATGACGGATGTAAAACCCTTGATTTTCAGATATATGGGTTGAATAACAGAGCTAAGACATAAATGGACAATAAGGACAACACAAGCTGAAAAAGAGAAGAGGAAAATCAAGCATGTTAATCACCGAAATCACTCGGCGAATCGCCAAATTGCTCCTCTATCGCCTAAATTTACAGAACCCTCAGACTGGATTAGGAGCAACTTTGGCGAGCAACAATTCCATTCGGTGTGTCACCAATCACATCGTTGGAGGATGACCTCGTTGCCAAAAGTAGTGATGGAGATCCAGATAAGTGCTGATGGGTTAGATAAAGGGAAAAAGGGCACATCGCGAAATGAAACGGCGATTTCAATTTGGCTCACCTAAAATTATAGTGGTTGGACTAAGAAGATATGAAGAATGAAGGCTAGATGAAGAACAATCGGCGAGTCGCCAAACGGTTGGCGAAGCCCGACTTACCTCGCCAATTGGTCCCAACGATCCACACATCAAACTTGTATAAATTGATTTTTGCAAGAGAGAGAAAGTATTCAGAAAATGTGAGAACACAAGATAAAGAGCAAAAACACTACCATTGTGGATTTTAAGTGATTTTAGCAAGGTTTTTCCTTTGGGTTTTGCAATAGAGAAGATTTTAGTTAATTTTTACTCTTGAATTTCATTTACCCAGCTATGAAAAACTTGGCAGGTATTGAATTTCATCTTTTTACTATGATTGACTAAAACCCTAACCTTTGGGGTTTGACAATGTGACCAATTGTTGCATTTGACTAAATGGGTGTTATCAATTAGTGAATTTTGGTGTTAATTTGAAGTGGGTCTGAATTATTACCGTGGTTTGATTTCATTATTGCATATTTTGTGTAATACAATTTGGAGTTTTGTGCTTGCTCGAGAGAGAACTACAGAGCCAATGTAGTAATTTGGCATCCTTAGTAGTGGGTCATGATGGTTTTAGCTTAAGAAAGTGAAACCCAAGATTCAACCTTTGTATCTAGCTCGAAAGAGTGGATTTGATGAGAGAGTGGGCTGGACATCTTATGGATTGTGTCAAGGTTCAAGCGAACTCAACGAAAATGAGGTAATTGTTCGAGAAAAAGTTGCTTTACTTATAGTCCATTCTGCCCACGGCGAATTAACATTGTTGGTAATGATCTACACCCATTAAGTTGAATGTGACAGTTGGTTAGTCAATCCCCCAAGTGTTCTCTAGTTATTTGATTGTTCCTCGTTAATTGTTGAAGTGGGTTGGTAGCAACATTCTGGAATTTGACTGTTAAACTCCTAAGTGTTGTGTTTGTTCAGCTGAAAAGGTCACTGTCATACTATCGTATTTGAATTTAAAAGAAAGCTACTCTCTGTCGGATCGAACCCAACTCATTTGGTTGGGTTATATACTGACTAACGATCGTTGACACTTAGAATTGGATGAAATGTCTTTGAAATGTTAATCAAAATGGTGCCGTTGCCGGGGAGTAGCGTTATTTAGAGTTCTTTTATCGAAGATTTGACTTGTGAATTTGTTGGTTGTAGTTGAATCGAGTTAGACTGCATTGTGTAGTGTTGGCTGGACTAAATAGAAGTAAAATTGAGTGAGGAAGAGGTGAATGGTAGCCTAGCAGGCCCCCGAGATGGTATCGAGGATATTAACACTGTATACTACCCAACCTAATAAGGTGAAATGGGTGTAATTTGCCTACCATTAGTTAATGAGAATGCAACATTCGAGGTCACAAACACAACTCTTCATCTTCTCCAAATGAAGAGACTTTATGGTGGGCTGGCTCATGAAGATCCACATGATCATGTGAGGAATTTTATAGATGTGTGCAGCCCGTTTTCATTCAAGAATGTGCCACAAGAATCAATCTGGCTTAAATTATACCCACTATCTTTGACGGGGGAGGATGGCATGTGGTTCGCCAAGTTACCAAAGAATTCCATCACTTCGTGGGATGAGCTTACCACTACATTTAATGCAAGATTCTTCCCTTCGTCGAGGATGATGAAACTTAGGAATAACATTCAAGGTTTTAAACGATTGGAGGGTGAACCCATCCATGAAACGTGGATGAGGTTTAAGAAGCTCTTACTTCAATACCCAACTCATGGGCTACCAAACGATTTGCTACTCCAATATTTTTACCGGAGTCTTGATTCGGTTAATAAAAGAGTGGTTGATCAATTGGTATGAGGGGGAATAATGTTGCAAATATTTTGAGGTGGCTTCATTTCTTCTTGATGACATGACAAAAATAAATCAAGCTTGGTACACTCAAGAGGATCAAGTCTCTCCTTTTTGTTTTAGAATGACCCAAGAACAACTTGATAAGGAAAGAGAAAGGGATGAGAACATCAAGAAGATGTTGACCCAAATGGAGCTACTACAAGAGCATATATTGGAGAATGTAGGAATGCCCAAGGGAACAAGTGGAGTGTTTAGAGTTAAGGAGGGTTCTTCCTAAAGTTATTCAAAGCCGGGGGATAATCAAGGCTGGAATTCCAAGAGATACGAGGAGGGTTTCCACCCACGCTATTTACATCAAGGTGGGAATCAAGGTTGGAACTATCACAAGGGGGTAGAGCAAAGAAGATACTATCAAGAATGGGCTAAGCAAAGTGATTATTGGAAAATGGAGGATGACCATGAAGAGAACCACACTTAATCGAGTGAGAGCCCAAAGTCGAAAGGGAGTGCAAGTAGTACCCAGGTGAATAATTTGTTGTCACGCATCCTTGATAAAGTTGAAGGTTCAGATGATTTGTTAAAAGGGATGAAAGTTATGTTTCCATCATTGAACAATAAAGTAAACTCTCACGCAGATGCAATCAAGATACTCGAAGGTAAGTTGAGTTTACTTTTAGCACAATTGAAACCAAAAATGACGAGGAAAGATGATGATAGAGGACTGGCTGTGGTTACTCATAGTGGAAAGGTAGTGATATGCGATGTGATGGGCAATGAAGAAGCCCAAATGCATGAAGAAGACAAAGGTATGGAGGAAGAAGAAATACGCATCCATCAAAGCATTTTCAAAGGGCCACAAAAAGATGTGGAGAAACACAATCCAATCCCAAAAGTTATGCAACCTTTACCCAAAATATCTCCTCCATTTCCCCAACGCCTCAAGAAGAAGAATGAGGATGAGAAGTTCAAGAAGTTTTTATCGATTAATCTCCCTCTATCGGAAGCATTGTTGGAAATGCCGGGTTATGCCAAGTTTATGAAGGAGTTAGTCACAAAGAAAATGAGCTTGGATTTTGAGACGATTGAAGTTTCTCATAGTTGTAGTGCAATTATGACTAAGGAGCTGATAAAAACGAGAGAAGATCCCAGAGCATTCACCATCCCTTGCACCATCGGCATGCTCCAATTTTCTAAAGCCCTATGCGATTTGGGTGCAAGCATCAAACCTAATGCCATATACAATCTATAAATAACTTAGGTTGGGTGAACCGAAAGCCACAACAATGAGACTCTTGATGGCGGACTGATCAATTAAAAATCATGTGGGATACTATATGACATCTTGGTAAAGGTTGACTGATTCATTTCCTGGCTGATTTTGTCATTCTCGATTGTGAAATAGATGTTGAAATACCCATCATTTTGGGAAGACCATTCTTGGCAACTGGGAGAGCGTTGGTGGATGTTGAATGCGAAGAATTGAAGTTTCGGGTGAATGAAGATGAAGTAACCTTTAATGGTTGTAAGTCAATGAAACACCCAAGAGATATTCACGTGGTCTCCACTATTGATGTTATTGATGAGGTGGTGGCTAGTGTGAGCCATTTGATGTGTATGAGTGAACCACTTGAGGTCGTGCTTGCTAACTATTATGAATTCAAAATTCAAGGCTACGAAGAAGTAGTAGCTGCTCTTTCAAGCATGGGGGGTATTCAAAGACTCCATTAAAGTTGGACATTGATCTAAAAAATCGAGAAAGTCCTCTCGCAAAGACATCAACAGAAGAACCACCAAATATGGAGTTGAAAGTATTTCCCTCCCATCTCCGATATGCTTTCTTGGGGGCAAATAACACCTTACCGGTGATCATTGCAGCTGACTTACTTGAATGGCTGGTAAAATTGCTCCTTGAGGTGTTGAGAAGGCATATTAAAGCTATCGGTTAGACTATCGCTGACATAGTGGGCATTCCTCCCGGTATTTGCACTCATAAAATTCAGCTTTATAGTGATTGTAAGCCGAGTGTTGAACATCAGCGGAGATTGAACCCACCGATGCAAGAGGTGGTGAAAAAGGAGATAATAAAGTGGTTGGATGCATGTGTGGTATACCCTATTGTGGATAGCAAATGGGTAAGTCCGGTACAATGTGTACCAAAAAATGGAGGCATCACAGTATCCCTAAATGAAAAGGGGGAGCTCGTATATATGAGACCGGTGACCGGATGGCAAGTTTGCATGAATTACCGGAAGTTAAACTCATGGACCAAAAAAGATCACTTCTCTATGCCTTTCATGGATCAAATGCTTGATCGACTTTCAGAGAGAGGTTGGTGTTTCTTTTTGGATGGGTATTACGGTCATAACCAAATCTCCATTGCTCTAGAAGACCAAGAAAAACCACCTTCACCTGCCCATATGAAACTTTTGCCTTCAAACGGATGCCGTTCGGGTTATGTAATGCTCCAGCAACATTTCAACGTTGCATGTTATCTATTTTTGCTGATAAGGTGGAGGATTCAATGGAGGTCTTCATAGATGACTTCTCGGTTGTGGGTGACACTTTTGAAGCATGTTTAGCACACTTAGGACAAGTTCTCCAAAGATGTGTGGAGACAAATTTGGTCCTAAATTGGGAAAATGTCACTTCATGATCAAGGAAGGTATAGTTCTTGGTCACAAAGTGTCGCAAAAAGGGTTGGAGGTTGATAAGCGAAGATTGAAGTGATTGAGAAGTTACCACCACCAATTTTAGTGAAGGGTATTCGTAGTTTCTTGGGGCATGCTGGTTTTTTCCGGAAGTTCATCAAAGACTTCTCAAAAATTGCAAATCCTCTATGCAAACTCTTGGAGAAGGAGGTGAAATTCCACTTTGATGATGCTTGCATGGTGGCCTTCAAGTGTTTGAAAGAAAAATTGGTCTCCACCCCGGTTATTATTAGTCCCGATTGGTCAGAACCCTTCGAAGTGATCTGTGATGCAAGCGGCACGGCATTAGGTGTTGTATTTGGGCAAAAATGTAACAAACTATTTCACCCCATTTACTACGCAAGCAAAACTCTAAACAATGCTCAACGTAACTATATATTTACAAAACAAGAATTACTTGCGCGGTAGTATATGTCTTAGAGAAGTTCCGAGCATACTTGCTAGGTACTAAAGTGGTTGTTCATACTGATCATGCTGCATTATGTTATTTGATGGCAAAGAAGGATGCCAAGCCAAGATTGATAAGGTGGGTGCTACTATTGCAAGAATTTGACTTTGAAGTCAAAGATAGGAGAGGTTGTGAAAACCAGGTGACTGGCCACTTATCAAGATTAGAAGGCAAGGAAAATGAAAAGCTGGATATCGACATAAATGATGCCTTTCCCAATGAACAGGTATTCACAGTAACTCTCAAACAACCTCCTTGGTATGCTAATTTTGCCAATTATGTAGTGTGTGGATTAATGCCAAATGAACTGAACTTCTACCAACAAAAGAGGTTCTTGTTCGATGTTAAGAAGTACTTTTGGGATGAACCATAGTCTGCAGACCATATCATTAGGAAATGTGTTCCGGAGGAAGAAGCCATCGAAATCCTCCATGCTTGTCACGCTTCACCGGTTGGGGGTCATCATGGCAGTGTACGTACAACTGTTAAAGTCCTTCAAAGTGGTTACTACTGGCCGTCCTCTACAAAGATGCTCATGAGTTTGTTAAGAGGTGCACTCAATGTCAGAAACAATATGGAGTGTCTAAAAGACACGAGTTGCCTCTCACGCCCATTTTAGAAGTTGAGCTATTTAATGTCTGGGGAATAGATTTCATAGGCTCATTTGTGAGTTTGTTTGGTAATAAGTATATTTTGTTGGTGGTAGATTATGTTTCTAAATGGGTGGAGGCTGTTGCACTTCCGAACAATGAAGGGAAAAGTGTTGTTCAATTCCTAAAACGTTACATCTTTGCTAGATTTGGTACTCCTCGGGCTATTATTAGTGATGGAGGATCCCATTTTTGCAACAAGTATTTTGCATCCGCATTGAGCAAGTATGGAGTGAAACACAAAGTACCACCTCCGTATCATCCCCAAACGAGCAGCAAAGTTGAAGTGTCAAATCGAGAGATCAAGAGTATCCTAGCCAAGACGGTGAATGCAAATAGGACTGATTGGTCTCGAAAGCTTGATGATGCTCTATGGGCGTATCACATTGCATACAAAACACCAATTGGTATGTTGCCGTATCACCTAGATTTTGGAAAATCCTGCCATTTACTGGTTGAATTGGAACACAAAGTAATATAGGCATTGAAAGCTCTAAATCTGGACTGGACAAAGACTTCAAAAGAGAGAGCAGATCAGCTAAATGAGTTGGACGAATTCAGGTTCAGGGCGTATGAAAGTTCAGCTCTTTGCAAGGAAAAGATGAAGAAGTTGCATGATTCTAGAATCCTTAAGAGGGACTTCAGACTAGGAGATCGACTCAGCCTCTTTGCGGGAAAGCTCAAATTCAAATGGTCAGGTCCATTCAGAGTAACACGGGTGTTCACAAATGGTGCCATTGAAGTCGAAGGTAAATAGGGACCTACATTCAAAGTGAATAAGCAACGCTTGAAGTTGTATTTTGGCGAGTGCCAAGAGATTTCTCTGATTGAAGTGGTGTAGCTGGAAGATGCTTGAGAGCATTTCCACATCGTGCCACGACGTTAAATAAGGCACTTCTTGGGAGGCAACCCAAGTGTTAGTTTTTCAAATAATGTGCGCTAATTTTGCAGGTGCAAGTAAGTGTGAGAGGTGAATACTCAATTGGTGGATCACCGAAGCTTTTCGGCGAGCTCGATCTAGCCTGCCTTCTGGACTTTGAAAATGGAACTGAGATACTGGAACATTAGGCGGGGAAACTTCATCACTCGGTGACTCGCCGAAGTGATTGGGCGACCCGACTTTCTCCGCGCTTTTCCCCTGCTTTGATGGCCTGACCCAATGGATCATTTGGCGAGGTTGCAAGTCCATTAAGCGGACCGTCGACCGGTTTGGTGAAATCTTTCAATTCCGCCTTTCACCCCTTCCGGCATACTGGAAATAACTGCGATATCCAGATCATTGGGTGAATCGCAGAGTAGTTCGATGACTGTTACAATTTTTCGCCAAATGGGAGCCTAGTGAAGATTCCTTGTCACCTTGCTTTGCGTGTTTACATATAAGTAGTTTATCTTTATTTTCCATTTTTGATTTTATCTGTTCTCTACTCACATTGTGGACAATGTTGAATGCTTTAGGTAGGGGGTGTGTTTGGTCAGTGAGTCCCTTGCTCATTCGAAAAAGTTATTTATTTGAGTATGAGTTATGATTAATACCGATGACTCAAATAGTGCTCTTAATCAAACAAAAATGAATGTTTGGCTACGATGAGGCCAAATGAAGTTGAATAGACAATATGTGAACTTTTTGCATCTCGTTATGACTAGCTGATTATCGAATTGATTCTCTTGTGATGAACATTGCACACTAGCGAAGGTGTGGAGTCTTGTTTGATATTGGCTCCAATGCCTTGTATAATGAGCTTACCGTGAACCATGTGTGATGACACCTAGAATTTACCCCGTTGGTCCGGTTGACTAACTGATGCAAGCTCTTGAAATGATCTTAGGCAACAATTTTAAAGAGTGAAACAATTTGACATTATACCTCTTGTGTGGCCAACCTTGTGAGTGTGTGAACTTTGCTTGAACACCCCTTGAGCCTTACCCTTTCCTTGGAAGAAACTTGATGCAATTGTGACCCTTCTTTATTCATTCACCCAACATTCTCATGAAATGTGGTTATTTGAATAGCCAACTTAGGTCAAAAGCCTAGGTTGGGGGTGTGGTGAAAAGAGAAGGTAAATCAAGAAGTGTAAAGAATCCCCCTTTATCCATGGTTTTGAAAAAAAGGAACTCCTCCATACAAAAAAGAGAGAAAAGAAGAAAAAGAAAAATATAATGAAAATGTTGTGGAATAAAGTTGTGAATGTTGCAAAAGAAATGGGGTACCCGGTATTCCATGAAAAGTGAATAATGGGGTGAATTTTGAGCATGAATGAGAATGATGAAGAAAGGAAAGGAAGTGATTTTCATACTATATTTCATGGGGATAGCAACCACTAAGACTAAATGACCATACCTTTGCACTCAGCCCCGTTACAAGCCTTGAAAAGACCTTTTTGATCTCGAGAGAGCTGAAGTGAATTTTGATTAGAAAATAAGAGCAAACCTATGGGTAAAGTCTTGCATGTGTTCATCTTTGTGAGTGTGAGAGTTGTATGATATTCCGAAGCTTTAAAGTGTTGAACAATTGTGTGTGAATGTGGAATCATCTTTGTTGTGAGGGCATTTGAGTACCTCTGTTAAGCTTGAACTCGCATTTAAAGCAAGTATTGCGAACTTGAAAATCTTTGATAATGGCGAGTCACTACTTGAATCTTTGAGTGCACAATTGTTCCTTGCATGAGTAAGTTAAGTCTCGTTGTGTGCATTCATGTTTTGAATCTTTTGTAGCACAGTCTGAGACATCCTTGTTGAATTGCTAAACTTAAGTTTTTTTTGAGGACAAACAAAAGTTTAAGTTGAGGGTGTTGATGATTCCGAGATTTGGACTCATTTAGGGTTTTGTTTGAATAGAATTAGTGTCCACAAATGCCCAATTTATGCCAATGACTGATGTAAAACCCTTGATTTTCAGATATATAAGTTGAGGAACAAAACTAAGACAGAAATGGGCAACAAGGACAACACAGGCTGAAAAAGAGAAGAGGAAAATCAAGCCTGATGATCGTCGAGATCACTCGGCGGATCGCCAAATTGCTCCTCTATCGCCTAAATTTACAGAACCCTAAGACTGGATTAGGAGCAACTTTGGCGAGCAGCAGTTCCATTCGGCGTGTCACCGATCACATCAACAAAGGATGATCTCGTCGCCAAAAGTACTGATGGAGATCTAGATAAGTGCTGACGGGCGAGATAAAGGGAAAAATGGTGCATCGTGCAATGAAATGGTGATTCCGGTCTGGCTAGCCTAAAATTAAAGTGGTTGGACTAAGAAGATGTGAAGAATGAAGGCGAGATGAAAGACAATCATCGAGTCGTCGAACGGTCGGCGAAGCTCGACTTACCTCGCCGATTGGTCCCAATGAGCCACATATCAAACTTGTATAAATTGATTTTTGCAACAGAGAGAAAGTATTCAGAAAATGTTAGAAAGACAAGATAGAGAGCAAAAACACTACCATTGTGGATTTTAAATGATTTTAGCAGAGTTTTTCCTTTGGGTTTTGTAATACAGAAGATTTTAGTTAATTTTAACTCTTGAATTTTGTTTACCGAGTTATGAAAAACTTGGCAGGTATTGAATTTCAACTTTTTACTACGATTGGCTAAAACCCTAACCTTGGGGGTTTGACAATGTGACCAATTGTTGCATTTGACTAAATAGGTGTTATCAATTAGTTAATTTTGGTGTTAATTTAAAGTGGGTCTGAATTATTATTGTGGTTTGATTTCATTATTGCGTATTTAGTATAATGCAGTTTGGAGTTTTGTGCTTGCTCGAGAGAGAACTACAGAGCCAATGTAGTAATTTGGCATCCTTAGTAGTGGGTCATGATGGTTTTAGCTTAAGAAAGTGAAACCCAAGATTCAACCTTTGTATCTAGCTCGAAAGAGTGGATTTGATGAGAGAGTGGGCTGGACATCTTATGGATTGTGTCAAGGTTCAAGCGAACTCAACGAAAATGAGGTAATTGTTCGAGAGAAAGTTGCCTTACTTATAGTCCATTCTACCCACGACGAATTAACATTGTTGGTAATGATGTACACCCAATAAGTTGAATGTGACAATTGGTTAGTCAATCCCCCAAGTGTTCTCTAGTTATTTGATTGTTCCTCATTAATTGTTGAATTTGGTTGGTAGAAATATCCTGGAATTTGACTGTTCCACTCCTAAGTGTTGTGTTTGTTCGACAGAAAAGGTCACTGTAATACTTTCATATTTGAATTCAACAGAAAGCTACTCTCTGTGGGATCGACCCCAACTCATTTGGTTGGGTTATATACTGACTGATGATCGTTGACGTTTAGAATTGGATAAAGTGTGTTTGAAACGTTAATCAGTCGAACGAAAGTTTGTTCTAGACCAAACTCGATATTTCGTGGCAAACCGTGCTGTCATAATTTTCATTTGGACACATTTTCCAAGAATGTTGATCGAAGTCAACCGCTGGCCAATTTTCAAGGCTAAAACGCTAAAAATGGTTTAAACTCACACTGAATGCCTCGGGACTCGAGTCAACCACACACCTAGACTAATTTGGCCATTCCAGAGCTGATGGAACTGTCAGAATTCCGTTCTGAGGCTGTTTTCCTGATGAACTGTCTAAAAGTTACTTTTTAAGCTTCAAGGCCTCTAAAACATGGAAAGTTGCACAAAATCTAAACGAACGACCAAGCGACCGTACTGTCAGTGCCAGCAAGTTATAAATGACCTGGGGTCACTGTAAGAAAGCTCTAACTAACGAAAAAAAGGCGGGTACAGAGAAATGACCTGGAGGGTCATTACAAATTATACACAAAATAAAAATAAAATTGTGATTAATTCTATCCAATTGTGTTTATTTTCATAGAAACCTATTATTAGCTTTAAAATTTTAAACGAAAAAAAGAATAATCAATGAAAGGTATGTGATGCTTCATTATATTTTTGGCACGTAAAATAATGAATTTCATTTGCATTCTATTAGAAAGAGAGATTTTGTAATGTAATGTGTTGATTTGAGATTCACATCAATGAGACCGAATTGAGATTTTATGATTCGGTACTATGAGATTAAAAGAAGATTAATGGCATTTAAGATGAATCAACATATCCATGATTGTTTAGCATTATTGATGTCACGACCCGGAGTACACCCCGAATGCAACACGGCGTACTCGACCCTGAAGGGGTCTAATACAAACCTCATAGCATTCTTGAACATAAGAACATAGGAAAATAGAGAAGAATTAAAAACTTCCTTTATAATCGAAGACATTTTCATTAAAATCAAGTAGAAGACTTTCTAGACTTTAAACACTATGTCTCAAACCATCTAATACTTTGAATACAACATTGGGACTTAGCCGTTAAAAAAGCTTTAACATAAACTAAAAGACATAAAAGGAACATGATGGATTTTGTCCTCGAAACTATGAGGACTCACCAAGTCTTCATCTTCAAGCACCTTAGAAACCTATCCTTCAAGCATAGAACACCAATATCTCCAAGCCCTACACTTTAGTAAGAAAAGGGGGAGAATGGGGTTAGCACATTAGATGTACTAAGTATGATGACCATGCAAAAACATGCTTAAAAGGACATTTTTGGTTGAAAGTAATGCTTTATGCCATTTTAGTACAACTTCATGAACATTTATAAAAGAGGCATAACATAAGTCACAACCAACATACAAGTCACATTTTCACATTACAACAAGATCAACATATAAAACTTTACCTTTACCTTAATCTTTCACCTCAAGTAACCCTCAAGTTATACCTTGTGCAATGTATGGATAGCATCCCATACCACCACCCACACTAAGGTACCACCTTAAGGTCACCAAAAGTGAACTTACCATTAATCCCTTCCACCTTTACACAATAAAACATTAAGAGACATAAACATTACATGAATCACATCATCACATTAAGACCAACATCTAAGACAACTCTAAGTCATATTTGTGCAATGTGCAAGTAGCATCCCATACTACTACTCATAGTAAGTACTCCTTTGAAGTCACCCTAGACAAGGCACATTCATATGCAATAAGTCATGACAGTGAAGTAACTCATAAAACAATCCAAGTATAGCATGCATC